CGGCTTGATACTGTGACGCTGAATAACCGGAGAAGACAGATCATGTACACATGGACCAAGCATGGTTACCGTTCACCAGAGGGGAATTTCGCATGCCGGCTCAGTGTTTTCTCTGCGCTTTGGTGTGCATGATTTCGTCATGTGTTATGGATGCCGGAACTCGTGATGATCGACAATAAATTAAGCTGAACGCGGTGAACGGAGGGAAATGGTTAAAATTCCACCTGTGACTAAGGGCGGGGAATTATTGAAATGCAACGCTCTCCGCGGTGCATCGCCACCTACCAGTAAGACACACTGCTCATATCAGTAAGCAGAAGTCAGTTGCATATTTCACGAGAGTTTGGCGAGAAAATCATGTGATGTAGCGGATTAGCTCGCGGATATGTAGCTCGCGCGCGTATTCTTGTTTTTTATGGGAGTTATGACGAGTTTTTTTGAATTTTTTTCGAAAATAGCTTTACTACAAATTGACTGCCTACAGGCTTACCCTGACGGTTAATTTTACCCGCGTTTCGCGGGTTCATTGTCCGGGGTGTTGCAAAATATTTCGAGTTGATTATGGTGAAAAATACAAATATTTCAGGTAGATGTTGTTGACATCAGACTAAGTATAACATAATGATTTTTCGTAGGGCAATATTTCACTTTGAGCCAAAGCGTACCGCGTTTGTGATCGATTTTTTAAAAGATAGCATCATCCGTCAATAGATGAGTTTCTGGCGTCGCTACAAGGATGGAGCAAAGTTGGGTGGGCGTGCCGACTTATAGATTGTGTCTCCACCAGCGTATAATAGCTGCGTAGAAGTGACGAAACCTGGGACCCCACCATATGTGACCTCAGTGTGACCCCACCTCACAGGTGAGCCGTGCGTGATAACATAACATAACCCAGTTAAAACGTAGAGAACGCACAAAGCAGTGCTGTTCATTTAAATTTTCCTCTTAGTACCTCCGGTTTTGCATTCCTCCAGCATACCTACTTGTCTGAAACGCACGCATATGGTAGGAATCATCTCCGTCAGCCACCATTAGTTGTTTGGGTCTTATTTTCGCTACAATACAAGTATCTTATGGATCTTACAGTAATTGGTTTTAACAAATTAAACGAAAACAACAGAAACTGTAGTTCCTTTTACCGGCCTTTCCAATCAACGGCGTTTCTGAAGTCGACCTGGCCCAGCGCGATGCGGTGGCCAGTTTTGCCACATTCGTTGCAGACGTCGCCATTAAGCTTTAATGACAACACCTGACAGAAACGTATGACCAGTCGCAAAAGTCCCGGGCGATTTTAACGAGCAGACAGCGTCAGGGACAGACGGTTTTTACTGTAGCTTGCCCAGCTGGGCTTCAACGGTGTTCCGACTACGCGTGAGGATCTGGGCTCGCCGTGTTCAGGATATCATCCGTGCAGCGTTATATCAAAAAACAAATTAATCCCAGAAAACTATCGGTGGGCCAAGCAGCAGTGCAGCGAGAGGCCGGCATTCAGCGTGAGATGTGACCACGAACATGACGCGTTTTTAACCAGAGATAAGAGAGAAGCCATGCAATAGCAGAAGCTTTATAGAACCCTAATGAGATACTACTTCACCACTTGACAGAGGCTATTGGCTTAGTGAACCAGAAAATGACAACAAAAAAACTGTCATTTTCATTGTTTGCCTCTGTAACGGGCTTGAACACACAATGGAATCACTTCAATGTGGAATAATTCATGAACATAGTCTATCTATATACTGTTACACCATGACTGGAGCATGAAGATCTTGGCTAAGGACTACAGTTGCCAGGACACCGATATTAAGAATAACGAGGACGGCGTCTATTTGGCTACATAATGTCGGCTAGTTTGTAAGAAAACACTCCGTGTGGTTTGATTTGTTTTGCCGCTGCTTTTTTTTAATGATAATGAGCGTTCTGCGTCCTCAACATAGCACTCATTCATCAGCACGCGAATCTCCTACACCAACTTGGAGAATATTTTACTCTAGGGAATGCCAAATCAAAGTACTTTGGCCTTCAGTTATCATGCATAAGATTTCCGGGAAAGTCTTCAAATGCCGAAATACTTCATGTGGCAGGCCTTGCTGAGAGCGGCCACTGTCTCAGTGTGAGTGAAGGTGATGAGAAGCCAGACAGCTTCAGAATCGACCCATAGGCGGAGCGCTCCACAACACGGTACAAATATCAACTGCTGCCTGTTTTGCGGGCGTGTCACGCCGCTGCGCCATCGCAAGCCATCCGCCCAGATTGCGCCGAAAACATAACTCCACGACGGGAACGGGAATGTCGCCCGTGGGAGCTTTGGGCGCTAGGTTGCAGATAATTCTCGCCGAGAGTGCCAGATCATCCTTGCGTCACGGCTTGAGATCTGGCAAAAAAGGCACGCCGGGGCTCTCGCCCTCCGCCGTGATGGAGCGCGGCCCCGGAACGGAAGCCGCTGAGAACCGGACGCAGGCGGCGCGCCGCGACTCCTGATCGGTATCGGGCCGGTGCTGACGCCCGGGTGAAACGTCGCCGCAGCGACGTGTTGTCTTGCTATCGGCCGGATCGCTAATCCGCCAGGCGCGACGCCGCGCACCAAACAGCTTCATTGGCCGAGATCCGTCCGCTGCAGGCACATACTGCAGAAGTCTGGCGTGCTGATGCGATCGGGAGGTGATGAAGGACGCCGCCGCCACCCGGCCAAGTCCAGCGTAGTCGCCGGTCCAGCGCGACTTTGTCCACCAATGTTGGAGGGCGTCCGCTCGCGTGGGCCGCACTCTTTCGTGACAGAAACAGCATGTATGACTGTAGTGCAGTGAGTTGTACGCAGCAGAAAAGTTTCGAGTTTACTATTTCCAGTGGTAAGTTTTTCAGCTTCAGGACGACCAGCGGCGCCATATCCCCGTCGCCTGCTGCGCGGCCGCCGAAGCGAGTTCCACCAAACGGCACAGTATCGCCGTCGTCCGCAGTACAGCCGCTGGAGCGGGCTCCACCACGCAGCACCTTATCACCGTAGCCTGTTGTTCGTCCGCTGGAGAGGGCACCACCACGCAGCAGCTCATCACCGTCGCCTGTTGTTCGTCCGCTGGAGAGGGCACCACCACGCAGCAGCTCATCACCGTCGCCTGTTGTTCGTCCGCTGGAGAGGGCACCACCACGCGGCAGCTCATCCCCGTCGCCTGTCGTTCGTCCGCTGGAGAGGGCACCACCACGCGGCTTCGTATCTCCGCTTCTTTGGCGCCTCACGGTGTACTCAGCTGCTGAGGCTGCAAAGCGTCGTCCGCCTCTCACACCGGCGGGAAGCGCGGTAATCGAATTCTGTACCCCTGGTTTCCCCAGACCTACAGTGAAGCCACTGCGCTGTCAGCAACAGTGGTGCAGCCAAAGAAGAGTGCCAACCCGCGAGTGCCAGCCCCCCCCCCCCCTTCCTCCCCCGCCCCCTAAGGTCTGGGTGCTTTGTATTTCGCCACCTAGGGCTCCCGGCTGAACGAAAAAGTCGATTTGGTGCGTACTCACCGCGCCCATTCTCATCCCTTAAGAGAACCCTGACTGCACCTCCGCTAGCTGCACCCCGTGGGGCCCGCGCTAAAGCCACAACTTCGTAGAAGTGTTGTAAGGTAAAGTGCAGCCGAGTGGCAGAACAAGAAGCCCAAAAGGAATCAAGGAGGGGTGCCGGAATTTTCTTTGTGTGCAACGCCCAAAAATTGTTGTTTTATATGCTTGGTCCCCTTAACTTTAAATATATGACGTAGGCTGCGGTCAACCTGTACTTAAAAATATTCAGATTAATCGAGACCCCATGCTGGAGGTTTACGTAGCGAGCAGGGTGATCACGAGAGATCCGGTACCAACTACGTATTGCCATCTGTTTACGCCGTGCAAAACTCCGTAGGCTAAGTTTTCAAGGCTTTGCGTAGGCTTCTGAACCAGATGCACCTCCTATGCTGATATAGCGCGGCGGGCCATCTGTAAATAACTGCAAATCTGCCCAAATCCGCCATGTGCCGCTGCACTAATTGGCTGCCCGCGAACATGCGACCCAGCCCTGCCCTGCCGCTCCATGGCCGCGTCAGTTCCCCACGACGCTGCGTGACTCATGCAAACCTGTTGCAGTCGCGGAGTGGTTCTTGCTGGAGGGCTCTCGCTGGTTACCGTAATTGCAGCATTATCCTCTTGGCAATAAAGATGCTGTCTCGGTTTCGTGGCCGCTAATGAGCCACTGATGCAGTGGCGGGTAGCCCTGAATGAGAGTGACAGAGATGCTTAGCTCTAACTTTCTGAAACTTAACACTGGCTCTATCGACGCCGATTGGAAAGGACTGACCAAACCTGGCTGCCGACCTCCCACACCTACCTGTGAGACCTTCCGGTGGTCGTGCATAGAAGTAGATCAGAGAACGCTTGCAAACGCGCAGTCGCTTCTGAGACCTCTCATCGCGCATGTAACGCGTCTAGCAGCGCGCGCAGTCGTACTGCAGCTGTTGCACGCGGGCCAGAAGCAGAGGGTGACGACTGCAAGCATGCAGATGACGGCCCCCGGAGTAACGGGACTGCTGCGGCGGGACATTCTTCTCAGGACTCTTGGGAATCTTTGAGCGTGCCGTATCTGTCATCTGGCGTGCCTTCGAGCAGATTAGGGCTGCGGACAAATGTGTCGGACAATGCGGCGCCAGTGTACATATCTGTGCGGGTGTGTAATACTTTGGGACGTGCGAACAGGGCGGACGGAGCGTATGCTCGCCTTCGCCGCGACATTCGGCATTACATGCCTGTTTAATCAATACGTATTTGGGGTTGTTTATTCCACATATCCTCGAATTTCGAGCTTGGGCTATTCCATGCACTTGTCCCAACTTGCCGTAGTGTATGAGCTATAGGGGGATGAATATATTGGTCACCGAAATGGGCTCAACTTTTTCACTAAGTAGTCGTTGTGCATGCAGTTTTCCTCCCGGCGTCTCAAAGAACCACCAGTAAATGGCCGCGGGTATTATATTCGGACACCTAATTACCTTGCCGGACCACAACAGCACTCCACTATGCAAACAACCAAGTTAAAGCATGCACTTCGCCAGCTGAAACTGAGCATCAACTGACGCTTCTCATGACACCCATTCTGCAAACATGGATACTGAAACTGAGCGCGACGGGTTTGTACACACACTTCTGTACAAATGTGCACACGTAGTCCGTTCCTCGCGGTCCGGCGTGCCCGCCGGCGCCACACCTCCTCCGGCCGATGCTGCCGCGCGAGCTAGGAGGAGCGGCTGCGCGAGGCCCTGGCCGCCGAGTACGCCAGGTTGGCGTACGAGTGCTGGAACACGTCGTCGTCTGTGATGCGGGGTCGGGACTGCACGCGCAGCCGGGCGCCGTGCTCGCGGTCCATCGACTGCGAGCGCCGCCGCTCACCCCTGTTGTACGGCGAGTTCTCGTTGCCGGCGGCGAAGCGTGGGGTGGGGCGGTCGAAGCCGGCGAGGCGGCTGGAGCTGAGCGCCGCCAGGTCGGGTCTGCTGGAGCCGGTGGAGGACATGGCGGCTGCGCTCTGTATCACTTCGGTGGGGTGGCGCGGCAGTGTGCTGGCCGGGAACTTCATGGCCTTGCGGAAGTCCTCCAGGTCGCCTTCAATGTCGATCTCTTGGATCAGCGAGTAAGCGCGCGAGTACATCTCGATGTTACGCGCGTGGTACTGGATTTTGGCGTGACAGAACTCCAGAAGGAACCGTCGGAGATCGCGAAGCTTTTTCATCTCGAAGTACTCCATGCTCTCCTCCAGGGCAGCGTGAGTCCGAGCCACGTCAATGGCGGCCCTCTGCAGCTCCGTTTCGGCCATGGCAATCTGTCTGTAGTCTCCAGGGGCCCGCGCACGCATGGCCTCCAGTTTGTTGCTTGTTCGCATTTCCCTTGTCTGGGCCTTAAATGTTGAAGCCAGGTCACCTTTGGCATGCTTGCAGGCGTCCTTGTATGTGGAGAGCCCTCCCACTATCCTCAGTTCCAACTTTTCAACTAATATCTGTTGAATATCGGCAATCCCGCACAGCGTGTCCGCCAGATGGGTAACTTGGGTTCTCATTGTTCTATTGAGCGTTTCTGTGTCCGCATATCCCACAATAACTCTTGCCAAATCGTCCATTGAATCTCTGCACTTTGCATTTTTTCGTGCAATGACTGCTACTCCTCTGCACAGAAGGCCAAAGTGGCGCTCAACTTTCTGAATCCTGCTATTGATGAAGTTAGCCTGTGTTTCACTGACAGAGTGGATATTTGCCGCGGGGTTAAAGCCTTGCGCCTGCATGATGAATTGTTATAATGACATCAATGATTGCATTGCATTCATTGGTCCCGAAAAGCGCTTATAGAGGTCTAAGTTTTCAAGAACCCTTTAGAAGACAAGAAAGACTATTTGCTATCGCGAATTGTATACGCCTGTCTTCAGTCATCGCCTGCTTATTTTATTTTTGTATTCACGAGAGCTTTTGACCTGATGTTGCACTTACACTTAGGATATACTGGAAATATTAAGCACAACCACACTTTCATCTATTTGCCATCATGAATTATTGTAATGGAAATAATTGCCGCCCAAGACGCTAGGAAATGCCAGTTTAATGACGATATCAAGCGATGTCACTTGTTTAACAAAGCCTCGCCGATGGCGAGTACATCATCGTTTGACCAGTGCCTCCGGCTATATTGAAGGTCAGTTGCTTTCAGCTCAAGAACTAAGCATATCTAAAAACATGAGTTACACTTTGGACACTCCCCACCAAATGACCCGGTCTCCTCCATGCGCAACGTAATTTGTGACAATTTGTAATGCAATTTTGGCTTTAATCGCGGCCTTATGGGACGCCGGTAAGCACACATCAGTGGCGTGTTATCATCGCAGCGCGGCGGTAACTGCATGACGTGACGGTCCAGTCCGCTTTTCCCTTTCCAAGGATGGAGATTTGGTCGTTTTCCTGCGTTAGTTGACGTTAAATAGCTGCCATCACGGCTTAAACGTCTCTTTTTAGAAACACATAGTGTGCCGAGAAGTTTGTTTTCGGCAGGCCTAATCTCCTTCACGAGTACGGCAGGGTCGCACGAAACGCGTTGGAGGTGCCAAGGCAAGGGCAACATGTCGTCTTCTGGCCTTTTGCTGGCCTCCTCCTGCCTCCTCGTTTCTGACCTTCCGACTGCGTGCTAGTCTTTTGAAACTAGCGTGAATATTTCCCTGCGTTCTTTTCTGTTCGGGCGTGTATGCGTGCTGAGGCAGTTTTCACTTTGGTCTTGTGGGAGCTTGATCCGATCATCGTCTTTTCTGTCCACCGATTCTGTGGTCAGTCAACTTTTGCTTGCATTCATGCAGTTGTTTTATGACGCATTTGCAGTATCTGTTATCAAACGTACTGGGACCATCGCTATCGTACACTGAGACACTAGAATTTCAATGAAGTCCAGTCTTTGATATGTTCTTGAGGGTTAAGATACCTTTCATATAATTCATGTTGCACCGTTCCTTGACGTCCACCACCCTTCAAGCAGAGACTCATTGCCCCTTTCTTTTGACCGATGCACATGTCCGTGGAAAACCGCCATAAATCCGCCATAAAACCGCCATAAATCTTATGGTCGATTGTAGCTGATAAGTACTCTGCTTTGCGGCCACAATGGAGACGACTTGCCTAAGACCTATCCCACAGCCGTCCACGAAGACACGGGGTGAGGGTGGTTTGCAGACGGCGTGGGCGGGCATTGCGCGACCGTTCCCCAGCGTCGGACCTCTCTGAAGGAAAAAACACGAGGCTTCGTGAACGCCCTTGGAACCAGTGCTCATCGGCACACCAAGCACCCAAGAACCGTGAATGAGGAGGGGGGGCACGCCGAGTCCAGGGCACCTCCACCCTCGCACCAACGCATGCGAGCCTCGGCATGCACACCGAGGAGCCTGATGAACGCTCTCCGCGCAGCTTTTCTGAACGCTGAGCCGGCGCCGAGGCCGTGCAGAGCCGTTCACGGCGCTCCGTGAACGCCCAATGCACGCGCGCCTCCGGTTGTCTGCGCCGATTCAACCCGAACTAATACAGGGGCACGGGCTGGCTGGTCAGGCTGTTTTTCTAGGCTCGAATCAGCTGTGGTTGTTGGCAACGCCAGCGGGTAGCAACAGCGACGGCAACAAATGTTGTGTCAAGGCTCGAACCCGAATCTCTTGAGCGACGAGTCAAATGAGGCATTCTCAAATGGCGGTTTTAATTGGAAGCTGCTGTAATGTAAACATGACCTATGTCCTTTGTGTGCTATATGGGTACAATTATCGATCATTGCGTCTTCTTCGCAAAACGCCATGGGTAGCCACGAAGTCTTGCAGGGGCTGGCAAAACACTATTCTGAGTTATTAATATTTATCATTGGAGCTAGCAATACAATGCTTTGGGAGAGGCAGTACAGGAGCAATCATACCTCGCCGGGCGTTCATGCCGCTCTTGACAACACCGCGCGTGACTTGTCAGCGCTCACTGTGTTTGTGCTGTTGACGGGGCTTTGTTTCGGCATTGAGACGTGCCTCTGGCCTCTTGGGGCGGCGCACTGTCGGGCGCTGTTTGACGAGCTTGTCTGTTTGTTTACCGTTCTGCTAGGCGATAAGAAACCAAGTCATTCATGCCAACAGGACCTACCCATTGGCGGCTATGCCGGCTACGCTATGGTCGCACTGCCGTCATAGTCACTGGCAGACATCATCCTGTACGCAATAGAATAGAGGGGCAATAATACACGCAACTAAATGTCGTGCTTTAAAACAAAAGGGCATTGTCTTGGGTGGCGTTACCTTATCGCTAAGGTTCCTGCAACAGCGCAGACGAGAACGTGACCACAAGGCCGGTATGGGCCCGATTGCTGACACGCGGCTTCCCCGGCCAGGGCTCTGTAAGTTCGGCTCTATATGGCGATAGCCATCAGTTGAAAGTTTCCGCCCCTCTCTCTCTCTCTCTCTCTCTCTCTCTCCTCCTCTCTCTCTCCTCTCTCTCTCTCTCTCTCTCTCATCTCTCTCTCGTCTCTCTCGTCTCTCCTCTCTCCTCTCTCTCCTCTCGTCTCTCTCTCTCTCTCTCTCTCTCTCTCCTCTCTCTCCTCTCTCTCTCTCTCTCTCTCTCTCTCTCTCTCTCTCTCTCTCTCTCTCTCTCTCTCTCTCTCTCTCTCTCTCTCTCTCTCTCTCTCTCCTCTCTCTCTCTCTCTCTCTTCTCTCCGGTGTCCGCTGCCTGCTCATACGTTACCTGTCCGGTGGGCGGCCTCCGCGAGTCCAGCTCGACCGCCGACCAACACCGCGGCACAAGTTCCGGTCCTTACGCGCCGGACCAGCGCCGCCGCCCGGAACTACCCAGCACCAGGATGCGGGCGAGTCGTGCGTTCCTCGCGGAAAAACGTTGCCAATCTGGGTGCGAAATTCTTCGGCCTCCGACTCCGTGTTTGCCGGATCCGGCAGCGGGCGTCGGGTGCGGGGCGCTGAGCCTGACCGCCCGGAGCGCGTCGTCCCGGCCAGCGCCATCGCGGCTCCCACCTGTCCGCCGCTTCCTGACGCCCGTCAGCGCCGCTAAGCTCAGATGAGGCCGAGGGCGATCCTCCCTCCCCCCTCCCCCCCTCCGGCACGTATCTCGGCGTGTCATGCACGGCGCGGGGCCGCGGAACCGGTTGCAGCTCGGGGAGGGGAGCGGCGCATGGCTGGCGGCGCGGCGGCCGGCGCGCCGCCAGCGGCCCGCCGCGCGTCGCGCCGCTCTGACGTGCTGCTCCGTGCTCCGCGCGCCGTGCTCGCCGTGCCGACGTGCTCCGTGCCGCGCCGCGCCACCGCTGCCGCCGCCACGCGCAGGTAAACAGCGCGCCGCCGCCGCGCCGCGCCGGAATGCGCGCGTGGGCGGCGGTCGTGGCGCGGGCGGATAGGCGGGGACTGATTGATAGGAGAGCGCTGCAGCGGCGATGCCGGCGTTGCGCTGTGGGAACCCCGGCCCCACGACACGCATGGCCGGGTAGAGATGTAGGAAGCTGAGCGAGGTGTGTGCGCGAGGCTCGCTCCAATGGATATTGAGAGTTTTCCCAGTGGTTTACTGTAATCTGGGTGACGACCGCCCAATGTCTATCTCCTTCGAAATCGGTCAAGAAAGCCCCTTATTAGCAGATCTCGAGTGGTCTGTAGGAAACAGAGGGAGACACAGAGTCATGCAGAGTCATTTGTGCGGCTCAGCCGTGAGGTGTCCGCCCACATGGATATGAGTGACGTACCTCGCTACCGATGGACGGGCCGCAACGGACAAACGATTTTTCATATGCGAGTCACGCTGATCGCAAACGTCACTCAGCAGCCAAACGGCATTTCGCCGACTGCGAGGTGGAATTTTGCCAAGGTGGCAGCGCTCATTCCCTGTTACACGAAGCACAAAATGGTGGATGCTATCGTGGATGCAACACGTGACAATTTTAGGTCACGGCCAGATCGCAACCGGGAAGCGTTTTGTAACTCACTCGAGGGAGACATGCTAGGAATGGCATGTAGACGTTCCGTGCAAGCGCAAAGATTGTTCGTCAGAACATGGATTGGCCGGTTGGCGTTGATGCGGTGCAGGCTTTTCCTGTCGGGACCACGGAGGGGCACAGTGTGCCGCCCAATGTTATGAGAGCCCATCGTTTGCCGGGTTGATGCTCTCGCCGGTTGCGATCTGGCCGGTAAATTCACAAACCAAGGGTTTGCCAGCTTTACACAGTGTTTTATATCGTTCACATACGCGTGGCCGTTGAAGTGCGCCTGCGTTTTTGCCATATTAGGTCAGCAAGCTAAGGTATTCATGAGACGCAGCCGATGCATGACGCACTGCCTCTTGGTTGAATAACTCCGTCCCCAGCTATGAAGATTGATATGTATCCAGTAACGGCGCGCGGAGAGGCAGCCGGACACCCACCCACTCGGTGAAAATCAAGCGGCAGAGCCATTGCAGCCTGCTTAAGCTGGTGTCGAGCCGGCACGGTGAGGGATCTGGTCGCCTTTAAAGGCCACCCCGGCTGCATACGGCTCTGCTGTGCATGTCTGACACCCTTCACGAGTTGGGATGAGCTCAGTGCCTGCACACAGTCTCGGGTGCATCGCTGCGAGCACCGGCGGCCGTCCGCCGAGACGCGACGGCCGGCTCGCGGACGTCCCGGCATTACGAGCACTTGGCCACGTTAGGGAGCGAGTCATGCAAGTGGCCCGCGCCTGTTCGCGATCGGATGCTCACAGTCGCGCCTGTGCGCGATCCGACGCTCACCGTCTTATTGTTGTGAGCGATTCGGATCGGGTCGATGGTATTTCGTCAGGCGACGAGCTCGGTATCCGCACGTGCCCTGCGTCCGCCGCGTTTGCTTCGAGGCTGTGTAGAACGCTCTCCGTCCGCTTTCCGCGAGCTTCG